ATTTCTTTACCCAGCAAAGAATGTACCTGTCCAAGCCACGGACTGCCAGCTTCTCCAGGAGAATACTGTGGGAAACTGTGTAAAAAGCTTTGTGAAGTCTAGGTACACTAGACAGTCTTTCCCTCACCCACTGGGCGAGTCACTCGATCTTAAAGGAGATCAGGTTGGTCAAGCAGGACCTGCCTTTTATGAACCCACGCTGACTAAGCCTGATGCCCTGGTTGTCCCTCTCATGGTGTGTGATCTCCTTCAGGATGATTTGCTTCATAACCTTTCCTGACACCAAGGTCAGGCTGACAGGCCTGCAGTTCCCTGAATTCTCTTTAGGACCCGTCCTGTAGATGGGAGTCACACTGGCAAGTCTCCAATCATCTGGATCCTCTCCAGTTAACCTGAAACACTGATAGATGGTGGAAAGTGGCTTGCCTATCACCTTCACAAGCTTTCTCAGCACCCTCATGTGGATCCCATCTAGCCTCATGGACTTGTCCAGGTGGAGTAGAAGGTCTCTGTTTCCACCTGAATCGTGGGATGTTTATTCTGCTCCCCATCCAAGACTTCCAGGTCAGAGGGTAGAGTACCCCAAGAATAACTGGTCTGACTTTTAAAGACATACATAAAGAAGGTATTGAAAACCTCAGCCTTTTCCTTATCCTCAGTGGCAATACTCCCTACCACATCCAGTAAAGGATAGAGATTTTCCTTAGCCCTTCTCTTACTGCTCATATATTTGTAAAAATGTTTTTTGTTCTCTTTTACTCAATGGCCAAGTTGAGTTCAAGCTGGGCTTTTGCCTTTCTAGTTTTCTCCCTGCACATCCTAACAACTTCTCTCAAGCTCTCCTCCAGTGGTCCATTCCTTAGAAAGACTATTTTTTTTCTCCTGGAACCTCAGGAAAACTCCCTGTTCATCCATGCTGATCCTTCTGGCTGGCTCATCTTGTGGCACATGGGGACAGTCTGCTTCTGCAGCTTTAAGACTTCCATCTTGAGGGAAGAACTACAGGCCAGTGAGTCTCACCTCTGTACCTGGGAAGACCATGGAACAGGTCCTCCTGAACAACATGCTTGTTCACATGAGGAATGAATGTGTGATCCGAGATGGCCACATGACTTCATCAGGAGAAGGTCATGCTTAACAAATCTGGTGGCCTCCTTTGATGGAGTGATGGCATTGGTGGACAAGAGAAAGGCAACCGATGTCATTTACCTGGGCTTGAGCAAGGCCCTTGACATGGTCCCCCACCACACCCTTATCTCCAAATTGGAGGGATGTGGACTTGATGGGTGGACCACCTGATGGATAAGAAATTTGTTGAAAGGTCACAGACAGAGGATGGTAATTAATGGTTCTGTGTCTAGGTTGAGGCTGGTAATGAGTGGCTCCCTCAGGGGTCTGTCTTGGGACTAGTGTTCTTTAACATCCTCATCAATGACATTGATGACAGAATCAAGTGCAGCCTCAGGGAGTTTGCTGACAACACCAAGCTGAGTGGTGCGACTGACACGGTGGAAGGAAGGAATGCCATCCAGAGGGACCTGAACAGACTCGAAAGGTGGGCCTTAGTAAACCTAATAAGATTCAATACAGAAAGTGCAAGGTTTTGCACTTGGACCAGAGAAATCCCATACAAACATGAAGAATCAGTCCTTGAGAGCAGCCCTGCAGAGAAGGACCTGGGAGTCCTGATGGATGAAAAACTTAACATGAGCCAGCAGTGTGCTCTTGCAGCTCAGAAAGCAAATGGTATCCTGGGCTCCATCAGAAGAGAGGTGGCCAGCAGGGACAGGGAGGTGATTGTCCCTCTCTACTCTGCTCTTGTGAAGCCCCACCTGGAGTACTGCTTCCAAGTCTGGAGTCCCCAGTACAAGGAAGACAGAGAGCTGTTGGAGAGGGTCCAGAGGAGGGCCATAAAGATGATCAGGGGACTGGAGCACCTCCCCTACCAAGACAGGCTGAGGGAGCTGGGCTTGTTCAGCATGGAGAAAAGAAGGCTGCGGGGTGACATTGCAGCCTTTCAGTATCTGAAGGGAGCCTATAAACAGGAGGGAAGTCAACTCTTTGAAAGGGTAGATAACAGCAGGACAAAGGGAAATGGTTTGAAGTTGAAGGAGGGAAGATTGAGGTTGGATGTCAGTGTGTGATGACAGTGGTGAGGTGCTGGAACAGCTGCCCAGAGAGATGGTGGATGCCCCGTCCCCAGAGGTGTTCAAGGCCAGATTGGATGGGGCCCTAAGCAACCTGGTCTAGTATTAAATGGGGAGGTCGGTGGCCCTGCATGTGGCAGGGGGGTTGGAGATTCATGATCCTTGAGGTCCCTCCCAGCCCAGGCCCCCACTGGGATTTCTGTCTTGTTGGCCCATTTCCTGATCCTTACCCAGAGAGACTCAACCTCAATCATTCCCAGCCCCAAGCTCTACAAAATCAAGGCATTCTCTATCAAGGCCACATCACCACTCCTCCTTTCTTGCCTATCCCTTCTGAAGATCTCACAGCCATCTATTGCAGCACTCCAGTCATGGGAGCAATCTCACTATGTTTCTGTAACATGTTTCCGTAATGGCAACTAAGTCATAGTTTGCCTGCTTCACAGTGGCTTCCAGCTCCTGCTGTTTGTTGCCCACTCTGCGTGCAGTGGTGTAGATGCACTTCAGCTGAGCCCCCTGCCTCACCCCAAATTCCACCATTGTTCCACTAGGCTCATCTCTAGCAGGCCTGGTTTTATCCCTTTCCTCCTTCACATCTAGTTTAAAGCCCTCTCAAGGAGCCCTGCCAGCTCCTGGGCTAGGGTTCATTTACCTTTTTGACACAGGTGAGACCCACCTGCAGCCCTCAGGTCAGGTGCTGAGTAAACAACCCCATGGTTAAAAAAAACGAAATTGCTGCATTTGCATCAGTCTCTCAGCCATGGACTTACAAGATGGATTCTTCTGCTCCTCTCGTCCTTCCTTCTTTACAACTGAAGGAATAAAGGAAAATAGGACCTGTGTGCTCACTCCGATCACTAACTGCCCCAGTCCCCTGGAATCCTTTTTGATAATCATCAGGCTTCTTTCAGTGACTTTATTGCTGAGAAAGAACTATCAATAAAGGCCTGAACTGTAAATAAAGGATAACAATCAGAGAGATGAATCAGACTGGGAAGTTCCCTAGAAATACCCCTGACCAGGGCCCCAGGAAGGCAGCATGCTTCCCTGCAGGCAGGGTTGGGCTGACATGTAGGGCCCTCTGTTCCTCTCAGGAGGAGCTGCTCACCACAGTCACCCTTCTGTCCTTCTTGGCAGACACCGTCTGGAGGTGTGGGGTTGACCACCTCTCCCTCAAAAACCTCATGGGTGGACCTTCCTCACCTCTGCCTCAAGTTCCAGAACCTCAAACTTACTAGGTAGGGCACCTGGGCAACTGAGGTGGGTCGGCAATGGGTTTTCCTATCACACCAAGCTGGCACCTGTTTCCACTCCTCTCCTTTAAATCACCTACCTCTGCTCGATGATGGCCAGGGGAGGGGGCCCACTAACATTTGTGGGGTATCACGCCCAGGTCTTCCTTGCAAATTCGGCAGAGATTGTTGACCTATCTATCTCTTCTTGCACTCTCTGATACTCATTAATCTCTCCACCTCCTCCCTGAGCTCCACCACCACACAGAGCAGATCAACCACCTGCTCAGATATCATGCATGTGGAATATCTGCTGCCCTTCAGAGGCAGCAGCAGGCTCAGACACTCACTGCAAACAGAGACTTGAACTGCACTGCACCTCTTTAGGTGGGTGCTCTGTCTGAGTCGCCACATTTTTTTTTGCCAGAGCTTTCTGCCTAATGTCAATAAAATATCTTTCATAATTAAATTAAAAACAAAGGTACCAAAATTGAGAACATATCTAAAGAAAAGCCCCAGGTAACATGTCTTAGCAATAGTCCTGCAGCCAGTTCAGTAACTGGAACGCCCAAACAAAAGACATGGAGTTTGATTTTCTTCCTTTAAATACAGTCGGTTGGTAACTTTGAACTCTAACACAATTGTTTATTTTTCATCACTCACTTTAATGACTGTGACTGCCAGATTCTTTCCATTTTAACCGATACTGTGTCTCTCTCACTCAAGGTTATTGATACCTTGCTAATTTCATGATTAAAATTATCATTAAGTCTCCATTTTTTGATTCGGCTTTGAAATTTATTGGTCTGAATGATATCACAAAGGAGAAAGAAGTTCCGTTTAGTCCTGGAAAATATACTGCTGTAACTTTTCCTTTTGAGAGCAGTATGAACTTCAGCTGCTTTTGTGTTATGTTTTAAACTCAGCAATTTCAATTAAGAAAATTCCAATTCTGTGAAGTTTCTCTGAAATTCATCACGGCACTATGGCCATTTGGTAATTTTGGTAAATACTTTTAAGGGCTGCTAGCAACTAGAATAGTCTGGGACTTAATATCTGCTACCAGCTGCTGCATCTTCTTTTCACTGTGCTCTAAAGTTTGTTCCAGTTGGTTTATCTTCTCATGCTGCAATGAAACTTGAGTAGACAACACCAGAATCAAACACAGTCTACTGTCTCTATTCTCCACTGATCTGAGGTTGCTACAGAGCTCTCCTGTAACTTTCCTTTAAAACAAGCCTTTAAAATAAAAGATCAATTCAACTCTAATCTGATTTGGCATAAATAAGAAATTTCCTTTTTCTCTCATTGCTTTGTTACTCACATTCTTAGAAAGGTAAAAATCAGGCTAAAGACTTGCAAACAGTGCTACAAGTGTAGCTTCCTGCTGGAAAAAATGCTGAAATTAAACATACACCACCTGTATCTGAGGGTTCTAATTCCTTTTTACCTGTTTTTTTTACAACTGAGTATTTTTATACCGAGTGTATGAAGACAGGTTGGTGCCTCCAGTGCAAGCAGCTAACAATTATGGTGATACTGACAAAGAAGTATTTGGAATGGATATTGAAGAATCTTGGGGGCTTACAGTAGAATGCAGATATTCAATCTGATAACTTACTAGCTTCTCAAAGAGCAGCAACTGTTAAGATCTTCAATCCAATATCCAGGTTTTTTCCATACCATTTACTCAGTTTCTGAAAAAAATATAGAATAAAAGGGGTAAAGCAAAGAGAAGGAAAGGATATGAGACATAGTAAGTAAAGTGTCTGCAGCAACTACAGAACTTGAGGAAAAAAAATATATTGAAAGTTATAGTTCCAAATGAAGATGAAGAACACAAGTGCATCCAGAATGCATCTTCTGTGGATCATATAAATAGATCGTATAACTGCAGTGTAAAGCTAAGGCTTTGTACAATAAAAAGTAACTTGAAATGTAACATACCTGAGAAGCATGCTTTTATTGTTAGCAGCCATAATCCAGGAAGCATTTGTTAAACAAAGGAGCATTCAACAGTAAAAGCCCAAAAATGGTAGACGTAAAGTACTTGCATCTCTGAAATCCTCACAGAGTCAAACAAAAGCAGATTTTAAGACAGGAAAGTTCCTTATGTCATGGATTTTAAAACCATTCCTATTCTACTCTAACTCTCTTAACCAATGTTAAGAGAGAAAAAAAGACAAAATAGATACAACAAAAATGCAGTAGTTAATAGTCTACTGGCTACTGCTGCTTTGCTGCAGCATTTTCAGTAAAGCACTTGTAATTGCTGCTTCTTGTAACACTGTAGATTGATAAGATGCTATTTCTGGTATGAATTACATGTGGATCTGGGGTCAGGTTACTGAGTATTATTTATGTTTTAGAGTGGAATTTTACCAAACTAGTCACAACCTATTCTAGTTTCTGTTAGGGAAGAAAGGGTAGAACTGATCTGTTCAAGCCTGAAGAAACAAAGCTATTTGTTAGGACAGAGCTTTCTCCAAGTACATTTAATCTTCAATATAAAACAAAAAAGTCCTACTTAGTGTGTTTATTGTATACTGTTAACTTGAAAACAACATACCCTAAACATGGAAGGGCTGCAGGTATTACAACAGCTCAGTACAGCATACACGACTGAAGGCCAGATTTTTAAAGGGATGTAAGCAGCTAAATTAGTGCAAGTAACACAATTTTTTGTCTGCTTCCCTTCACTGAGGCATCCAAATTACCTGGGAAAACAGCCCCTTGGGTTATCATAGCAAGTTTTGAGTGTTTTTCAAGTTATTATTGTTGCGGACTTGGGATTTCCATAATTTTGCTTCTTTAATTATTTGAAACCACTTTCACTTATTCCTTACCTGGAGAAAAGTGGAGAAACAAATTCTGATTCTGCGGCTCTTTACAAGAGCCTCTTGCTGGTAGCTGGGTAGAAGAGTGCTGTGATGGTGGTGGAACTAGTTAGTGCTTCATTTATCATCTCCAGCCAGACCCCCAGCTTAATGTGAAATTACGCTTGATCACAGAACTGGGAGGTCCATAAGACTGCTATACAGTTGGTAGTCACAGCTCTCACCCAGATTTAACAGAAGTGCAAATAAATACTCAGGGAGGAAATCAAAGCAGAAATAAAAAAGTCAGGATTGCAACTCCTGTTTCAATTTGCTGGCTCTGGCTATAGTGACATGGAAATAAGACACAAAATCTTCAAGGACATTCTATGGAAATACAGTTTCTCCCAGTCTACCAGACATTTTCCTTTTATATTTCTGCATGTATTCATCTCTAGAGCTTGCTTATGGAAATTTTCATTTTGTCATTTAAGATAATAGGTCATTAATGCTTTGTTATTTTTAATATTAGGTGAAAAAAAATCTTTGTACAGTTACATTTGCAACCAGTGTCAGTGCCAGCGTCAGTAATAAACTCTGCTAGAAAATATTTGTCTGCCATTTCTTATCTTAGTAGCAAGTGCACAAACAGAGCTCTGTTTGTTTCAGGTTTATGACAGTGTTAAGCAAGTGTTCAATCTACCATCACTGCTTGCTCAAGAAGGAAGTTTAGATTGCACATAGAGGTCATTTGCATTTCTTCTAGAAAAATTCAGGCATAATCTCTGTAGCCTTTCCAAATCAAATATATCACAAACGCATTAAAAACTCCTTTACCACAGGCAACTCTGAGATACACACACTTAAAAGTAAGGCTAGCCTTAGTGGTCTAGGATTTCTACTGGTTTCTTTAGATAAAATGACTCATTTCCGTACTAAAAAATTCTTTGTAACTGAAGGCATTATGCTTTTTTTTTCTGCTGATCGTATTATGAATTCCTTAACTATATGCTATTTGGATATGTGGGTAACTCACTGAAGTTCACTAATATTCTAATCATAATTTTTGTTATTACTACTTTCATGTTGCTTACCTATAAAAGAAACACCATCCAATGCCTTAGAATATCATAATCTGAATACATTTGTGTGGAACTTTCTACAGTTAAGAGAAGTAATGGAACAGACATGAGGATGTTTGGCTTTTTGAATATTCTTTTTTTCATGCGTATGTAGGGGACAGCTGTGTGTTATGAATCAGTGCATGCATTTGAGCTATTTGCTACATTAAACATTTCAAAATTAATTATACAATAGTGCCACATATGTGTAATAATGCAGAGACATAATTAAGGAAATACAATATATTAAAACAGAATACTTATCAACCACACACACACAAAGGGAATTCTGAGCCCCAAGTTTTCCAGTTTCTTTAATGTGCCTCACAACATTTGACACTACAGCACTGCATTTTATGTACATTACTCTACTAGCCAGAGATTCAGCGATCAAAATTCCAGTAGGGAAAAATGGTCAAATATTGAACTAATAGAGTTAACCATTTTTAATTTAGCTACAGCAGCATCACAATCTGATGTAAATCAAAAAAGTACCCTCAAAAGCTAGAATAAAAAAAAGCTGGAGTAGTTTGTCTTTTCTGTAAGTTTGTCTTATCCCATGCTGACATTGCTAAGTTTTTGGAGGAAATATCTCAGATAAGAAGGGCTTAGCACTCTGACTGCTGGGGATAGAACTTGTAATGAAGAGACGGTTTGAGTGTCATGACATTTCTAGATTGGACAACTCAATGTATAGATAAAGATGTACAACAAATATATGCTGCCAGCAAACATACCTTGCAGTGTAGATAAGAACAAATTTGCAGGCTGCAAAAGGTCTCACCAGAAGGTAGATTCATGTAAATTCAGTGGATAAATGAATAGGACAAAATATCACAGGAAAAAATGCATAGGCAGAGTAATGGAAATGTGTATACAGTTATTCCTGAGGTGTGTATGAAGACACACTTTACAAATGTAATTGTAGTTGTTGTATATGCAGATGAAACCACTGCATGGACATATTACACAATGACTTGCTGCAGGCATGCATAAATAAACACATCATGGTATTACTAATTTGTCCACATAATACAAATGTATACAGGAAATGCAATCCTAAGAACCTGCTTAACTAGATGGTGACAGTTCATTTATACAATCCACTCAGGGGCTACTTTCTGTTATTGTGGTTTATTTTCAGAAAGTTAGGATTCATTTCCTTAGTAGCAGATAGGTTGTCAGGTGCGTATGTCTTGTTCTCCAAACTGGAAATAAGAATGGAGCCATGCAGGTAGGCAGACAACTTGGCCCAGTGAAACAGAGGGATGCATGAGGGAGCTCCTGGAAACACTGAGCAGCATACTGTAACACAGCATGCTTCTGGTTTGCTTCTATCATCAGGCTGACTAGAGCCATGGAGATTAGCAGAACTTACTGCCCTTACACCTTGCTCTGACTGCTGAACTGGCATATAATTCTGTATATGCTACAAATTCTACATATCCATACACAGAGCACAGCAAGAGTCTAAGTATCAAGGATATGTTTTTCCTCAGATTAGATCCGTTATAGATTTCTGTTACTTCAGTGTAAGTTAGAGAAGAATAAATTTCAGAACATATGAAATGTATATGTGGAGTAAGCCATTCTATGCTTTGGTGAGATGCATTTCATGCAAGACATTATCTTGGGAAATTAAAATTATTACATAAAATATCAGTATTTTTTAGATGTACACTACTCCTTTTACAGAAAACTAAAAATCTGTCTCTACCTGTAAGAACACAGTTGAACATGTCATTGTTATGCCCCATGAAAAGCAGCACATAATTTTTTTCAGGTCTTAAGACTTATCTTCTTATTTCGGTATGTTTATGAGTCAGGCAAGCTTCATCTTCCGTGAGGAACTAGAGCGGATTTCCCTAGAGCTAACACTGTACCTACAGTTGTTGGTTACAGGTATCCTATCTATGAAATAACAAAAAATGTCATGTCTTGGATGGCTACTACTGAAATACTGTCTTGGAGATAGATAAAAGACAGAAGAAAATAAGGAAGCATTCTCTGCAGTTTTCAGAGGGTCCTTACTTGCCGCCTGGTCAGTTGCTGACAGCCATGTAGAACAGATTCTGCTGTTCTGCACACGCTCTATTTTAAAGGCACTACTTGGAGAACAAGCAACTACTCTGTGGGAAGACTGATGACACAATCTGTCTCTGATTATTTTAACTTGCATCAGAGATATGTAAGATACACCTAGAGATTTGTATTCATTGTCTCAAACTCTAATTGCTTCATAGTACTTTTAATTAAAATTGTACAAGCTCAATTATTTATGCATTTGACTAACCCACCCAATTTGACAAACCCGTGTATCTTAGGGAAATGTGCAATCCACAGTACAAGTCAGAATAACCTCAGACAGATATACATGATGGCCTCCCTGTAACTGCATTTTTTTTCACTGCCCCAAGCCCAAAATATACTTCATAGAAGCACTATCTTGCTCTTCCCAGGCCATGTCACATCCACTTTGCTACACGTCCATCTGAAGGGTACCCTTCCACACTTTTTTGGGAATCCAAACCGGTGTAAAGTGGGATTCTGCCATTCAGTATTTCAAAAAGGTCATCAGAATATAATTCACTTAAATCTGATATTTTGCCAAAGGCATTCTTCTGCCTGGAAACACAGAGCCAGCCTCTTAATGGAGGATAATGACAAGAGCAGTGTCATTCCTGAAGTTCATCAGGGAATGTGGAAAAATTTGGAAAAGCCATACTGTTCTCATACAATTCAGCTTTACATTAGAGATTTCCTCTATTTTTCTTTCCTCATGGTACATTACTAAGGATATTTTCTCGAAGACAGAACCTTTGTTTAAGTATTCATTTCTCTTTTTCTACTTATTAAAAATGTGAAATCCTAATCCCCTTTTTGTGACATCACAGCAGGCCTGCTGTGGAAATTATTACACTGCCAGAACGTGGAGGACTCTGACACCAGGTAGAGAATAAACAGGAGAGGCGGATGAACTCTTGGGAAACAAGGATTCTTTTTTATCCAAATATTTTCATTAAGAAAGAACAAGGGAAGGAAAGTATATGACGTGTCTGAAGCCCAGCTGCTCTTCTAGCCAAGCATTCAAGATGATGAAGTGTGAAAAGGCCCTGCCACTCATAACAGAAAGGCTTTAGTGTTGGTTTTTGTCCCTTTTCTTTTCTTTCTATAATCTAAAGCTTGGCCTCCCATGATTTATTTACATACCTTGATTTTTCTTCTTTGAAGTCCACAGGCACCAGTAGCAGGAACAGCCACAGATAATCATTTGCTGAACTGGGCTCCAAACTGACCTCCAGAAATTTCTGCCAAGGACACAGTATTGTCTCTTACCTTAAAAAAACCCTGAGTTCTTCAAGATGTTACCAAAAAAAATGTAGGCATTATAGCTGTTTTCCGACTTGAGTGCTTTTATAACAACTTGTGTTTCAGAATTTTCCTGCATAACCATGACCTAGCTAGATACATACATCAGAGGAAAGCTGGCATTTTTGTTTGGCATTTAACCCCAGGGAAGTGGGACTTCAGTGGAAACACTGAGTGCGAAGTGGAAGTGTGCAGATTTAACCCCTCTGAGCAACTGCCTGCTGCTGTCTGATAATGGCCCATAGGGCAGGCCTTACAGATCAGCAGCTGTACTGGACTACTCCTGTGCATGCATTTTGTTGATAACAGAGAACCCACTGGAAAGGTTATCTGGATCAGCAAGAAGACATCAAGAGTTGTACGAAATAGGAATATATAATAACAGGAAATATTATTTGAGGTATACATAAGGGAGGGCCCGGTAACAGAAGGAATTTCTTAAAGCAGATCAAGTGTATCCTTTTCGTACAGACAGGTTTTTAAAGAAGGTAAAACAGAAAAGAAATGTACAGATACCTTTTTTCTAAAATATTAATGAAAAGGAAGTGGAAGATTTTAAGTAGGTAATGAGGCAAATAACAGCAGAGACTGTAAAAAAAGGAACGAAGGTTTTAGATAGCGCTGTCCAAGTGACGTTAAAGCAAAAAAAAGGTTGTAAGAAGGGTTTATGACCAACATGTAATATTCATAGCCAGGCACCAAGGATTATTAATCAGACAGATGTATCAAGTAATTGGAAAGTATACGGTAAGTTTCGCAGTGAAGGATTGCAGCTGCTTTGGAAGAGTTATCATTACAAGAAGAGATCATAATCAGTGTGGTCTAGACAGAGCTGCAGAGAAATCTGATAATTTACTCTCTATTGCTCATGAAGCATAAGTTAGAAGATCAGATAAAATTGCTGCACACAGAACAAGAGGTAGTATTTTACCAGCAACTTTTGTCTCCTATTTCATGAGTCTTTCTAGTTGAAAATACAAATAAAAGCGTAATGACAAATATACTCAGTTGGACGAAACTGTAAAAAATACAGATCTCATTATGAGTAATTGTCATACAGTCATGTTTCCCAGCAGAATCACTGCTCTCTACATTTGAGATTGACTATATCAGGTACATTAGAAAGCAACAGTGATGAACCTAAAATGCTGAAGAAAGCCATCATATTCTAAACACAAATGCCTTTATATAATCTAAACCTGTGCTAGTAACTGAACTATCTCTGCAATTTTCACTCCAAGTTCCCAGGTGTGTGTATAAGAAGGAATATAACTGTAATGTTTGCTAGAGTCAGCTGATGGAAATTACAAATCCAGATGATAGTGAAAGCAGAACAGAATGGAACTAAACTAACCAAGTAGATCTCATAGGCAAGAACTGCTGATTTTTTTTTTATTTGCGTAGCTCACCACATGATGCAGCCTGATGCCTGAGAGCTATGTAAGAGAAAAGGAGGCATGGTATCATAGCTTCATCTATTTGTCCATGGAATAAGGAACATTTCCATAGAGCTGAAAAGAGTGCTGTGGAAACCCTAGATGTAGAAAATGCAAGGACCACAAGGCAGAGTTCCTGCCTCCTCCTATGCATTTGTAGGGTATGAGAAATGCAGAAGTCATACATGAGTGTTCCAATCACATTCATCTATATACACAGGTTAAAGAAATCTACAACAACTTTCATGTCATGATTAACTAATAGTCACAGCATAGGAGGTTCTTTGTTCACTAGTGATTTCTGCTCTGAAAAATACATCTAAAAGGTAGATTTATTTTTTCTGTCAGTAGTATTTCTCTTTAATCCATCTCACAGAGACTTGGTTTATGAATCAAGAGCTTTGCTAGTTGTATCTCCATTTCCATTTATCTACCTGCTCATATTTCACCCAGTTTAAACCTTGAGAGGACAGATAAATATTTCTCTCTCAGCTGGGCTATTTAGCACAACAGGGACAAGTACGTTCACCCAAAGATGGGGAACTAACATTTCCACTGATGACTGCAGAATGCAACTAATAGGAAACTATCAGACTGTTATCAAATAATATAGCATTCAACAGAGTGGGAGCATCACTTTTTTAACTGATATTAGTTTACAAAGGACCTCTCCTCCTTCAGATGAAAACATTAGATTAGAACAGTTTATAGATCACTAGTATTCTTCTGCATATATATGTATGCCTTCATTTAGTAAAAAGTGAAAGTATTTGCCCTGGAGGTCAGTTGTTTTCTCCTTCCTCCAGAATACAATAATTATTTTAAAATATTGGAGTTGGCTTAGCCTCCCCCTATTGTTCAAAAAACAAACAAACAAAACCTTAAACTCTAGGGTATATTCACATCAAGAGTGTTCAGTCATGGATGACTGTCACTTTGCACTAACGTGACATAAAGAAGCAATACAGAGCATCCATGCTACAAAGTTCACAGTGGAAGATTGTATTTAGATCTCATACACATTTAAACAAAGCTGCAGGACTGAAGGAAGAAGACAATAATAAAGAAAGACAAATATTTCTTTTGTATCTGAGGCACATGTAAGTACCGTGTTTTTAGTTTCCAGCACATTATTAAGAAAGAAATCAACATACTTTGGGAGGAAGAACACCTTGCATGATAAACAGACTAGCTGCTTTCAGAGATTATCATAATCAAAATTGTTCTTAACCTGTGTTAATAATCTCCTGTAAACTATCTCCTAATGCCTGATTATTTTGAAGCCAGACGAACTTCACTTTTCAGAATTCTGCACAATCTCTTTGAGGAATTCTTTCCATTCCCTTCATAAACCTTTGGACTGTGTAAGAATTTCAGAAATAAACACTGCCCAAAACTCCGGATCTTCAGACAGAATTAATGTCTTGTGCTTGCTGCTTTGGTGATTCAGTATTGCCTTGAACTGTAGAGTATGGATGCTTTTAGCACACTGTATCTTGCACGTAACATTCACACTTATTGATCACACTACTCCAAAATTCTGCAGCCTTCACTCAGGGAAAAAAATCCCTTCCTGCTCAGGATAAAACAATTTTCATTTAAATAAAAACTGCATTAATTCCAGCCACTTGAAATACCATGTACATATGTGTGTTCATGTCTAAATTTCAAACATCCATATGAGATATCACAATAGAATATATAAATACTATCTACAATAAATATGCACTTGTATGACTACTCTTTATATGTAGCCTAAACATCTATGTTTAGGTGTATACATACTTATTTGTTTTGTATAAACCCCATGCCTGATGATAAAAGAGATAGCAAGTTAGAGATATAAATAAACCTTTAAGATAGTCCTTTGCGATCACGGTCACGCGATGTGTGCAATTAAGCAGTTTGAATTATATGAAAATACATACCTAAAGTAAGGTAAAATTGTAGGCATAGTTTCCACTGTTTTTAAGATGTAAAGCTAGAGGCCCGTTGTCCAGAGATAGCTCTTCGCCAAGGCAAGGGCAAAGTGGCTGCAACAGATCTCAGGTGCCTGGAAAAACAACTGGAGCACTACCAATACTGTTTAATCCTGAAACATTTTTACTTTTAAAGTCAAAGCTAATTAGAAGAATACATTTAGAGAGAACTAAAAACCTACACCAACATACCCTGCACACTACTGCAGTGTAGTGAACAGGTGTTGTGCGGTACAGCTCATGTCAGTATCTACTTATGTCATTAATCGATCCATGATCATTTTACTGACAATGTCTTCAGACCTCTACTGTGAGATCTGAAACGGATGCATTCATTGCATAATTGCTATAGAATAAAAAACATAAATACTGTTCAATTTTTGTCTTTAGATTTTTCCTTCAGTAATTAAAAAAAAAGGGAAAGTCTTACTGTTTAAAAACCTGTGGCTGTATGGACCAAGTCCTGCTATACAAGAAATCAGCAAAGGGCACGTTATCTTATCACCTTTTTCTTTCTCAGATTTCTTTTCATAATATAACATCTAATTTACATATAATATTATATAATAATATACAAAACTTATGTTAAGTGTGGTATCTTAACCATGTGTCATGCACCTGCTTCACAATGTGCAGCTATTGTGGGCAAACATGAATAAGTATAGAATTTCATATATTCAGAGAATGTGTTGTTGGAGGTTTAATTCTAACAAGATATGTCAGTGTAAACAGATGAAACAGAACTTCACAACTTTGCTTAAGTATGGGTGGAGAGATTGCTTATTTGTTTTTGTTTGTTTTTAAATCTCCACGTTAAGCATATCAGTATCCAGATCCAAACAGACAGGCTTTTTCATAATTTCTTTCTATTATGTTATCTATAAGTCACTGAGGTTGGAACTTCCTATCCTAATCTTCCTTAAACAAAGAAAAAATATTGTTAAAAAATTGCCAATTGTTCTTCCACACACTTAGGCTCCTGTACTAATTTTGGACATTAGGATACTGACGTGAAACAAAGACAAATTAATGTCTTTTGTCTGTTATTTAAAAACATAAGCGGTCTCGCGTAATTGTACTTCATCATATGCCATAATTTTACAGGATGCCCAAAAAGAGTGAAGCTTTTTTTATTTTATAACAGGTCAGCCAAAAATCTATATATTTTTACCCAAAATTTTAATTTTCTCTTCTCCCATTTTTTACTGCCTTGGCATGCCTACTCATCAATGCATATTTTATTCTGTTTCAAGGGAAAAGTAAGTAAAGCCTTCTACAGACAACTACCCAAAATAAGATTTTTTTTTCTCTCATATAACAAAATTACAGAAAAGGCCAAGTCATGTCTTATTTTGTTACAGAATATTTTTGATGTGTATAAGAAACAACTTTCTCTCATGGTTTTTAAAATTCAATTTTACTTGAGTTTGAGTTTTTTTAAGCCTCCTTTTCCCATCTGAAAGAAAGCAAGTACTCTTAAGTGACCTTCATGATAGATCAACATGACCTACCCTTCGATCTCTGATAAGCCTGAAAAAAACACACCTACAATTACCT